TATTATTCCTATCTTATAGATCTGACAATACTATCAGACAAGAGCAAATCAGGGCTTAAATGCAATGTTTCTGTCCATACATACTAAAATTTTACAAGTAGAATCTATCAATAAGACAAGTTGAGAATTCTCAGGTGGTCCAGTGGTTAGGACTCCGCGCTTTCACTGCCAAGGGCCCAGATTCGATCCTGGGTTGGCAACTCAGATCCCGGCAAGCCATGCGGCAAGGCCAAAAAAAAAAAAAGAGCACAAGTCAACAAACTACAAAAGTCCACTTCAAGAACTAGTCAATCTCCGTTTTCATTTAAATTACTGCCTTCAATTCTCCACTACCCTCACTTAGAAGAGAGAAATGGCATAAATAATCCCCCAAATAATAATATCTGGGAATATGTCATAATTTTTTTTCTTTTTTTGGGGGTACGCAGGCCTCTCACTGTTGTGGCCTCTCCCGTTGCGGAGCACAGGCTCCGGACGCGCAGGCTCAGCGGCCATGGCTCACGGGCCCAGCCGCTCCGCGGCATGTGGGATCTTCCCGGACTGGGGCACGAACCCGCGTCCCCTGCATCGGCAGGCGGACTCCCAACCACTGCGACACCAGGGAAGCCGTCATAATTTTTTTTCACAGCGTTTTCTCAAATTGTTTGACCTTCGTAGTCAGTGTAATTTGGATTATCTGAGAACACGCCAATTTATGACTGGGAGGAGGATTTTAGGCACAGTATATGTAGACACAGTGAAAAGTGTATCAGTTTAAATTTAATATAGACCAGACATAATGCACCAACTAGACTACATCAAGCAGAGATTACTTGCATGGCAGAAAATAACTGTACAGGACTGAAAGCTTCACTATGCTGCACAGAATAGTACCACAGAACATCATCTTTTCAAATTAAATAGCTACAAAAATACATCTTTGCATTAGGTCTTCTTTTTAAACAAAATCACCCAATGTCTTTGTAAACAGCCATCTTCACCCATGGTACCACAATCAGGAAGTGGCACATGTCACAAGAAATGCGTATAGTTAAAGAATCAAAATTCTTAGAATGATTTCCTTGTTTAAATAGTTTTACAAACGTGACTCATTTGCATTCCAATATACTTGCATGAGTGTGAAAGGGGCGAAGCTACAGCCAGTGAGCAGGAAATTATAATCCTGTATATGCTCAGAGAGTAAAGAACAGTGAACACTATCCATCCTGTGTGGCAGGTGAAAAAGTCTGGAGATTTGCTGTTTTAAGTATGCCTTCTAAATATATAACATAAAATACAGGACCTCCAATTAATACTTTGAAACAGAATTTTAGGGAAGACTACAAGTCACAGAGGCCTGGGTTTAAATGCCAGCCTTCCTCATCCTACTTGGGCGTGTGCTTGGACAAGTTACCTAAGCAGTTTGAGCCTTACTTTCCTAATGTTAATTAACAATTAACTAGGAATTAACCTACACCTTGCACAGCTGTCATAAAACTAACAATGTGTACAAAGAACTTGGCACAGAGGTGTTCACTATTACAGCGTAACAATTTAGAGCCAAGACCCAGATCTACCACTTAGTAGTTGTGTCACTTTTGTTACTTAACCTTAGTTTCCTAGTCTGTAAAATGGAAATACTAACACCTATTAGCATTAGGGTGTTGTAAAGATTAAATGTCTTACAACACTGCCTGGCAAGTAGCACACACTAGGTAAGTGTTAGTTACTAATAATGTCATTATCATCACCACCACTGAAATGTTAAGTAACCATTGCCACATTTGATTATTCCTTACATTTCTACTATATCAAAAAATGCTCCTTGAAAAATTAACCTAATTTAGTGAACTTATCATAATATAACATGAGCTCACACATTCAAGAATTTTTATGCTGACTTTTAGAAACTTTAAATGCATAGAAATTATCTGAATTGACCACTGCTCATGAATGCTGACAGGATACACATACAAATACCCATTCTAAGTGAACAAATCCATTCAGTGAACTAAAGCATAACACAAACCAATGTCTATTGTACTTTCTCCCCAAAGATTTCAAAGCAGTTTAAAATAATCAAATAGGGCTTCCCTGGTGGCGCAGTGGTTGAGAGTCCGCCTGCCGATGCAGGGGA